ATTTTAACCCAACTAGCTGAAGTTTCAAGAACTCGACTTCTTTGCAAAATAAAATTCACCAGAATTCTTTTTACCCGAGTTGCTGGGTTAAGATGCAACAAGACCTAAGATTTTGACTTCGTTTTTGACTTCTGCTAAGTTTTCTGTCTGAGAACATAACAGCAATTTGAGCTAGCCACTGTAAAGATTGGTACATGTGGCCAAAATACAAAAAAGATGAAGAAAAAAGTTCGCAGAATAAAGATCACTTAGCTTCACTTAGTATTAGTATTAAATGCTGCATATTTTTGCAGGAAAAAGGGAAGGTTCTCGATTATGCACTGTTCGTGTTGAATAAACCAGTACCAGTTTGTCGAGCAAGACGTGGAAGGATATTTTCGATCATCAAATTACCACTGAGAAATATTCGGGAGCGACCATGGAAGCCAATAGAACCTTCGGTAGACTTCCTCAGTCACTGTTCACTGTTTGGTTACGGCACTTCCCACAAAGGTCAGATTAATAGGTTTCTTACACGAATACAGATATTTTTGTTTTACAACAGTGCTTCGCCTCCTGATTTTAAAAGCAGTTGTGCATTTCTGTTCAAAGTGAACAGGTCTCTTCTTTTTTTTTTGCTAAGAGAATAACGTGAATGTGAGCAGAAAAGAAAATGTAAAAATTTAGGAAAAGAAGGGGTAGTTTTAGCTTAGTAGTGCAAAACTTAGCTTTTCACTGCTCCCCTGTGCTAAATTCGCTTAAAAAAAATTTAGGTGCGCTGCCTTTTAGGCTTCTGAAGCGGTATCATTTCACACAAAAGCTTGAATAGATGTATACGGTTATTCTGGTCAGCGTTTCGAAGGCGCTCTCAGATTCCTATTGATCTAATAATACTACAAATACCGAAAGTTCAGTTACTACAGTTACAATTACGAAAGTTGTTCGGATTTTTTTCCAGGTGGACCAGATGGTCAATTGCGCAGACTGAAAAATATTACAGTTTGGGAAGTTAGTGGGCGTCTTCTAACCCCACTTGAGCCAAATGTACAAAAAGGCCGCACATGTGCTGTACGTTTTTTTAAAATTTTGAATTTTATATTTTAATGCATTTTTGCAGTGCGGCTATAGTGAGCAAAAATTCATATTGTCGAGAGATTATCCGTACGAGTGCGTGTGTGTGTTTTCGGAAGCGAGTGAACTTTGTCGCCCATTTCAACTCAGCAACCAGAAAAGCTGGAAAGCTGAAATTTGGGGACTTGTTTTCATCCCATGCGCCCCTCTCCCGTTTTAAAATCTTCGCTCATACGTGTCCAGATCTCGCGTACGGACCCCCGAAAGAAATATGCAAATTTTTTTGAAAAGAAGCGATTTCGTAAACTAGACAAGACAGAAAGCTGAAACTTTGCAGAGATATTCGCTGCGAATGTATGAGCTAAGGATTTTAAATTCGGCTATTGCATACTCTTATACAGCGTATACGGTCATGTCAAAGTAGCTGAAATTTTGTCAGGATATTTATTGTTCATATGGGAAATCGTACATTAAAGCCGAGTTTTGCTCTACTTGTATCACGACTTAGGGCACTTCGAAGGTGTTCGTAATGAATTGGCTACTTTGCCTGGAATCCCAGTAGCTAGAATTTATGGCATACTGGTTCTCGAAGTCCACATACGCCGGGGTTGTATTTGAAAACTTTATGTTCTATGTGGCTGAGCAAAACCCGCTTAGAATTTCAACGTCCCAGCTTTCCTGGTTTCCGAGTTAGCAATTCTTCTTCCCAAACTTTCACGCGTTCGTACAAACGTGCGTGAGGGTTGGTATAGCAGTCCCAAGACGGCATTTGGCCGGGGAACCCACTGGTAAAATTTTGGCGCTGGAGCTTGCTTGGGTGCCGAGTTGAAATACCCGGACAGACGCACACACACACACGCACACACACACGCGCACGCACACACGCACACACACACATACACACACACATATACACACACCGGGGTCGTCGCAATATGCGTTTTCGCATTTGCATATTATGCAAAAACGCTGGAATAAGCGAATTTTGAACTTGCGAAAGAGAAAAATATTTCAGAAATTTGCCTTTTCAAGCCTCAAAATTTTTGCTGTGCTGCTTTATTTCGAGAATTAAGTATTTCCTTTAAAGCCGATTTGTTAGGTGCCTCAGACTCGTAATTGCATCCGATGCTTCTAATCAGTTGCTGTCCAATCGTCTTGATAGAATAGCAGTGGCCACAAGTTTTTGAAATCATTGCTTTTTCTGGTGATTTTTCAATTTAAGGGTGATTCGGGAGGACCATTTATTTGCGAAACTGAATTTGGAGAACGCATTTTTGGAATTGTTTCACATTCCGAACCGCTAGTGGAATCCGAACCTTCCACATGTTTTGGCGAGGTAAGTATTAACCTCAGTATTTTCTTCCTCTGTCGAAAGTTGAGGGACCAGAGAATCTAGATACGTTTAAAAGGGTATTCGAGATACCAATATTTTATTAAGCCTTTAGTCTCATGAAAGAGTAGTATGAAACACGGACGTGCAATACGAGGTTTCTGGCGTGACGCTTACACATAGAAACTCGGAAACGGAAGAATCCAGACATGCTTGTAGCTTTTTATAGTAAAAAATTTACACCTTTTGTTGTAAACAGGAACTTTTCGGAGAGGGGTGTATTTTCTGTCGGAAAGAAAGCTGCACTGAAGCGCAGGATGATTCTACAAGAATCGAAACATATATGTGTATTATGATAGGAAACATGGGAAGAATTGTGTTTTATGAACTAGAAGGAGAATACACGTATCAACTTGTAGAATAGTTAGCAGTTCCACACAAGATTTTCTTTGAATGACTGCTGGCTCGGAAGCTGGCGTTTTTCGCTGTTTGTTCTGTGATGAGTTCAAACTTCGGTTATTAAGTCCAGACCTTCCGCTTGGCAGGCTAGCATTACGCAACTAAATCGTAGATGTTAACTATTATTTATTTCAAAAAAGCACCGAAAATTGCATAAGAAATAAAGCAGCAAAACTGAAAATTGTTCCTTTTTTGAAGTGTTAAGAAATAAAAATTTGTAGCCGGACTAGTAGCGCTTTGATTAACAGCAGCTACCGGCTTTGACAAACTAGCACTGCTAATATGATGCTTTCGGAAGTGCAAAGTATTAGTTACAATCTGAGTCGATGGACCAGTCGCAAAAGGACTGGCCTATCCAAGCGGCGATCTAAGCCGGGCCACTGTGCCGGTTCGGCACAAAAAGTTATTTTACAAGTTAGTGCAGGGGCGTTTGAAAGCTTTGCAGACCAGTGCGTTTTTATACGATGTGATGAGCGATGTGCGTAAGATGCTTCCACAAATCCAGAATTCGTTGGAAGAAATGGGCAAAATCAACGAATTCATTGAAGACTATGAAAAGTGTGATTTCTGAAACTGTAAATTCACTGTGCTTTTTGATGCAGATGTACTGTCTCTCAAAAGTTTTTCAAAACTGTATTATTTGTACAAGTGGTTGCATAGTAGTTTTATTATAGAAGGAAATTTTTTAAATTTTATAGCTTCGGCTTCCTGGAATTTTTTTGCATAAATGTACAACTTCAATTTACTTTTAAAGTCGGGAACTTATCTACACCTGGAGTGTAACCGTGAGATTTCCAGTTTTTCTTTGGTTTGAATTTTCACTATCCGTTCCCAGGCAGGTTTATTGTAAAACTCTTTACAGCCACTGTGTACTTGTCCATGGAACTAAGCGTTAGATTCATATATTTTTTTGAAGCAGTCGAAAAGGAAGAAAGCCTGAAGGTGAAAGTTTTGAGAGTTTCTTGACTTCCGGCTTGCACTGGAGCTAGATGAACAGTTTTTCTGTGT